GAGGCAATTGAACAAAACAATCTTCAAAAGTTCAAGTGTCTGGAGAGTTGCCTAAGGTGCATGTTGAAGCTTCGAATTGATCGAAGCATAATTTGCATCGCTTCGGTAAATGGAAGTGTCGTTCAATCGGAAGCTTATTCTGTCTCGTTTGATATCCATCATTTCGTCCGAACCAATTTCGCCGCAATGGCCGGCAAGTGAACCCTTATGTCAAAGACACGGCTGAAGAGCAAAGCTTTCCGTATCCTCATCAACGGTAAGCCGTGTTTTTACTAACTGGCCGTCTAAAATAGATTCTAAACGAACGTTTTGAGTTTTAGCCCTTTGTCAGAGAGAATCGGATGCAAGACAATTTACACTGAGTGAAACAAACGAAAATGAGGATCGCGTTACAAAAGACGACGCCAAAAGTGTCATAAATAGTCTAACTAATTCGCGCAATCCTCAATTTAAAACCTGATGAAGAGAAATATGACTAACTCTTGCTTATCTAGCTGATTGTCTTTTCTTAGTTTGCTTTTTTATTTAAAGACCACGAGTGCGTGATTTTGATGTTGTTTAACTTGTTTGGAGTTGGTTTGGAAGTTTTTACATAGTCACGTGCCATTCCTCAACTTCTTCACCGTATGTTTGAAACTTATCCTCGTCTCATTCTTTATCTTTTGTATTACTATCCTCGTCTCATTTACCATATTTTGTTTCAATTTTTCAGGTGATAAATTGCCAGAATAAAACGAAATTCCTTTTTCCATCTGAAAGCCTCGAGCAAATAAACGAAATGTTAGGCTGAATGTTCTTTTCACCAGGAAGTTGAATAATCACTTTATTCGTGACATAGCATTTGGGTGGATTTGAGACTCGTCTAAACTAAATTTACTCAAAAAAATATCTACTAATGTAATAGTAGTCATAATAATAGTAACCATAGGATAAAATGGTTGGAAACCATAGGCTTTGAAGGTGTGGGCAATGGGCGAAAATTCTATTTTTACATCTGACAGCCGCGAGCAACTAAACGAAATGTTTAGTTGAAATGTGCATTTCATTAACAACAAGCTCTCCCAATAGTTTTTTTTTCCATCTAAAAACCTTAAGCAAAACCACGAAACAATTTACAATGACCCTTTCATTATTTTGCATCATTTTTTTGACGACAGTGCCGATGCGTAACATGGCGCTGTTTGCTCTCGCATGGATTTGAGACCCGTCTAACTTGGCCAAAAGGTCTGGATAAAAACAAATATTTGACGAATATAAGAAACTGAACGACACTTTTAAAATTGAAAAACAAGTTTCGACAGTTCCTCTGTCATCTTCAGTTCTGAATAATACAAAGTACAAAGTTGAATTTATAGTGCGTAACAAAATGCTGATTGGACAAAACAAGCAATAGTAACAGAACAATGTATGCATTTACAAGGAAAGTTTTAAATTAAAATGATAAAATTGGTGATTAAGAATAGGTTTCTCCCGTTGAATGTGGATAGCTTCTTTGATTTTAAGTTGAAAAGTTGTGGAAGTGCGATCTAGGATGTTGAAGCACTCATCAGAACAATGACTGCGCCATTGTGGAGAATTGTGTAGATGGCTGAAAATGTGAGAAGCCCTATCACTGATCAAGTGCTCACGTACGCGTGTGGATAAATGTCGAGAGGTTTCGCTGACATAGCAAGCATTACAGCCCGCACATAAAAAATGGTAAACCACACACGTACGGAGCTCACGACGGACAGGGTCTTTCACACCAAACCTATTGCCTTTTTTAAAAGATGGAAAAACCACCTTAATATCGATTACATAAAACAAATGTAATCTACGGTACGGTGGGTCTGTTCCTTAAAAGATCACAGAGGACATCATAGAGCAGTTGGAACGTCAGTGACACATTCGCTTGCGGCTAGTGTGCCGGTTTTTCTGTTCTTACCACATTATGACTTCATCAGTGATCTATTACTGAACAGACCCACGGCAAAATGGACGTTGCGTGACACCCCGACAAAGTAGAAAAAAAAAACAGTAGAAAAAGGAAAACTCGACATTCTTTGAGCACAAAGCTTATTCAATGACGGGTATCCTGATTATTTACCATTTTGTTTTAGGCTATATAAAAGTCATGAGGTTCTACAAAACACCGTGACTTACTGAATTTTATGAAGTTCACAACTCTTAGCAGGTAACTTGGTTCTGAAATCCTGGAACAAGATGCACAGACTTTTAACCATAGTGTTGAACATGCTTATAATGGTTAAGTATTTTGTAGGTCTCAAGTGATGGCACCAAAAGGCGGTTACAGGAAAATC